GTGATATCCCGTTCGCAGAGCTCAAGATGATACCGAGAGCATAATGAAGGTGTCACGCGCTGTAAGGAGCTTTGTCTTGCAAAATAGTTCGTTATTGTTTCTCAATATACATTCACACACGTCTATGTATTATGTTCTTAGTAATTCATTGCCAATCTTGATGCTTTTGAAAGCCAAAAGTTATGCTTCAGGACTACAAGTAATGCCAATTACGCTAATGTTTATGGCAGATGACCTAGATTCTATATCACTGCGCCAAACAGCTGACGATAAGGCAAGAACACCTTGCGTTAGACATTTGACAGCTTTACCCCTTAGAACGTACTAGATAAGAATAGTGCTACCTCTGTAGACATGTGAGTAACACACATATATACACTGATTTCTTTTGAAGATTAGATTATTGCAATTGTAGTTATTTCTGGGCTATCAGTAAGGTAAAAGTGTGATTTCATTGAACATTTGAAGGCGATTTTGACCTGAAACTAGTGAAAGATAGCTCGGAGGAGACCTAGTGCAGTCCAGTTATGACAGTGATCTGTTGCTAGATTAAACTAATATTATGTGTAATTCGTGTCAAGGCAAACATGATCATTTGCTTGTGGGATAATAGGTTATGGGTAGACACGAAGCTGGATTGGCGAGGTCACTTGGTTCAGATCGAACTGCACCATTTAGTCTCAATTTTTCATATAGGCCTAGACATGAGAGGCGTTGACGTTGTTGGAAATTGAGTAGAAAGAAAGTTTATGGATGTCAACTTTTATTATGAGGAACACAACGTTTTGGAGTGTATGCTTACTCCTTCATCGGGTGATCTCACCTGATGAAGGCGTAAGCATGCATATATATACCTCATAATAAAGAAGATATGACATCCATAAACTTTCTTCCTTATCACTGCTTATGTGTATCACTTCTAAATGCCATTCAAAGACTAGATCTACGTGTACATATTGTTTTGTTCATATGGAGTTATTCGCAATGATCAAGTCCACAGAATGTTCCAGTAATTATCGGAACAATATTTTGTAAATGAATCATTTCTAATCTATATTGTTGACTTTGTCGTACAAGTGTTTTGTGATTCAGCTAGATAGATCTGCAGCTGGTATCCCCATTGGTTTTCAAACTTTTAAGAAACAGTTTTCTCTCTTAACATATGAACAACTTAAAACATCTCATTTGTTCATAAAAGACTACTGTCTCTTAAGAACAAGCCATCATCAGAGCATTTGCAATTTCTGTGTGATACTACAACCCCTGTTATAGCGCGAGTAAACAAGATAAACATGGCTGTCTGAAAATGTCCGAAAACCTATGATCCGACGATACTAGTCCTGTTGTGCTGGGTAAAATTCATGATGAATAACATATAAAAATTACTATCATAGTAACAATACTCACTAATGTTTGTTGTTGTTGCTTTAGACCCGTGAAGATTCCTGGGTAGAATAAGTCTTCAGCAACCCATGCTTGCCGTAAAAGGTGACTATGCTTGTCGTAAAAGGTAACTAATGGGATCGGGTGGTCATGCTCGCTGACTTGGTTGATGCATGTCATCGATCCCAATTGCGTGGATCGATGCTCATGATATAAATCACTGGATTGTCTGGTCCAGACTTGATTATTTACAGACCGCCGTCATATAGCTGGAATATTGCTGAGTGTGGCGTAAAACAACAAACCAACAAATGTTGTTGCTTTAAGTGTTTAAGCGGTCGACTTCTGCCTTAGCGACCGCCTCTGTGGTCAAGCTGTAGAGCAGAAGGTCCAGAGGTTCAATCCCTGGCGCGTCATACCAAAAGACGTTTAAAGGTGGTACTTGTTGTTACCCTGTCTGGCGCTCAGCATTAAGGGGCTCAGAGTCAGTATACTGTGTCTGAGTGGGGTATTCATGTTAAACTGCAGCATGGTATCTCTGTGGGCTAGCACTATCAGTCCTGACTAGTACAAGCATCCACACACACATGTGCATGCAGGTCACTATATCAGTGCAATAATCTTGGACGCGACGTTAAACCCCCTTTCACCTCACCATCTGCCTTAGTATTTTCGTCTGACCTGTCTCTCTTTGGGACTCATGCGTGTGAGTAGGGTACACATATCTATTGCGAGTTTTGGTATTCATAGAATTTCTGTGTTTGTATTGATATGATTTCTATTTTCGTTTATTGATATAATATCATGACTTTTAGATGGGGCTATGTAATTATCATCATAAGTTAATTAAGCACCCAATGAAAACATTTATCGCCCAGGTTGGCGATATGGCAACAGTCCTTCTGTGTCAGTGTTGTTTGAATAGCAGTGTTGATTGACATTAATTGTATTAATTGAATTGTTTTTCTAGTGTTGTTAAAGTAACTGAAAATTGTTTATCTCACACATGATTCTGATCATGTGACATCTAGTTTATCCTACCTTCATAAGGTGATAGCTGTTGTATCATCACATTGTTATATATATTCTTTCCACTTTTCTTTCCAATCATGATCATGACAAAAACAGTTAGTTTTTCCCAGAAGAGGGTAGTAGCGCATGCACATCTTTTAAAAGTTGATATTTGTCCAATCCACAAATGTCAAACTTGAAAGTATGTGAGATTCAGCCAATCAGAGCACCATATTTCTTGTGTGACCTTTGGGAGGGAGCACAAAGTCTTTCCTTTCCTTTCGTTTGCGGCGAATAAATGTTAATCTCTATGATATCAAAAATTTAACAATGTTTTTGTGTATTCACTATTATTTGTAACATACTACTATTGTTTTTGGTCATTTGCACTAGGGCTAGGACAAGTCAAAATATTCTACCCAGATATTAGGGCTGGGACGGATAACTCGGGTACTTGGGTCAGGTACCAAGGAGGGTACCCACAGGACTACCTGGACCTACAGTCACGTGATATATTGTTTAACGATAATAACAATAAGACTCTGTCATTACACTATAAGTTGCTAATGTTCACATTTTTTTCTGACTGTTTATGTGAATATGTTTGAGTAAAGATAAAGCTTCAGTCAACTTCAATGCATGCAAGATCAGATCGTATTATACGTGTATCAAACTAGTCTTTGCCAGGGCCCCAGTTGCATCGTAAAACAATTCCCAATCGGACATTTTGTTCCCCGCTCTTGATACCAACAGCTGGTAAACTGGGAGGGTCGAGTAACAGATGGTTTGGTACCTAGGTAGTAAATTTTCACTCGTCCCAGCCCAACCGGGTGTTAAAACATCTTACAATTATGTTTCATATTGACAGCATTAGAAGCTAACAGTTTTAGACCACAAGAACTATTAGGCAGTTTGGCAAGGACTACAGGACTAGTGCCAATTTCTATCCCTGTATTGGTGTTGAAGATGTTTATGATGTGATACAAACATTTACAATATGCTGAGATATTGACAGATCTTTGTGCATAGAGGTAACAGATTTTATTTTATTGAGATTGTCCTCAGATTATTAGGGCAGTCGGGTAGCCTAGTGGTTAAACAGCGATAGAAATTGGCATTAGTCCTGTAGTCCTTGCCAAACTGCCCAATAGTTAAGGTATCATAAGGACTGTAGAAATTTGCCATTTTTAAGGGATTTGCTATATGTTATCATTATAAGGACTAGTAGACTAAAACTGTTAGTTTCTACCGCTGGGTTAAAGCGTTTGCTCGTCACGCCAAAGACCCCGGGTTCGATTCCCGACATGGGTACAATGTGTGAAGCCCATTTCTGGTGTCCTCTGCTATGATGTTGCTGGAATATTGCTGAAAGTGGCGTAAAACCATACTTACTCACTCACTCCTCAGATGGGGCGGTCGGGTAGCCTAGTGGTTAAAGCGTTCGCTTGTCACGCCGAAGACCCAGGTTCGATTCCCGACATGGGTACAATGTGTGAAGCCCATTTCTGGTGTCCTCTGCCATGATGTTGCTGGAATATTGCTAAAAGCGGCGTAAAACCATACTCACTCACTCACTCCTCAGATTATCACTTCATGAGAGCTAAAACACTCAAAGAGTAGTAAGGAATATCATCTATCATGTCTATGATTGTTTGAATTTGGGTTACAAATGACAATGATGTACAGTGCTTACCTTATGTCAATGGACATTTTACTCAGCCTTGTCAGTGACCCGTGAAGATTCCGGGGTAGAATAGTTATTCAATAGGTCTTCAGCAACCCATGCTTGCCGTAAAAGGTGACTATGCTTGTCGTAAAAGGCGACTAACGGGATCAGGTGGTCAGGCTCGCTGACTTGGTTGATGCATGTCATTGATCCCAATTGGTAGATCGATGCTCATGATATTAATCACTGGATTGTCTGGTCCAGACATGATTATTTACAGCCCGCCGTCATATAGCTGGAATATTGCTGAGTGCGGCGTTAAACAGCAAACCAACCAACCAACCTTGTCAGTTCATGGTAAGGTAGGATGATGTTGTTAATTTCAATTACCATCATCCTGTTGTTCTACCTTTTGTTTGTTACCATTTGTTAGGTTGTTTATGTATGCATAGGTGGCTGTATCATCAGTTCATATGTATTTTTTATTAAAAATCTTTCGGAACTTCAGAGTTTACAGAGTAACAATCTGTGTCAAAAATGTTTGCATTAGATTTTAGTGTTATTGTATGGGACACTAGTGGCTAAAGTAGCATATTGGAATAATAGAAGTAGATGCTGCAGCCTGTGTTAAAATGTTTTCGTGTCTATGTGCCTGAACATGGTTTTCAGAATTTTTATAGAAATATATTGACAATTGTGATTGATAATAATGATAGCTATTATAAGGCTCCGGTCTGGTGTTAAGAGTTGCAGACTGCCTTAGTAATTAATGTGATATTGAGGGCATACAGAAGGAGCATGGACTGAACATGTGGGTCAGGGTGGCAGAGTACGGAGAGGTGGAGTAAGTGTTGCGTCTACATGGGCTATATATCTGGAGATCACATGATCACTGAGTGTTCCTCTCAGGAGTAGATAGATCAGGTTACCCTAGCTCTGCAGCAAGTGGCTGCTTTGTAGGCCTGTTACTTTCCCTCTTGTATGTCTCACCCATGTTATGTACTTGAGGAAGTAGTTGTAAACACAGATGTACAGAACTCAGTTGTGTGTCAGTGTGTTATAGTTCGATCATCATACAGGGGCTCTGCATCCTACTTCAGGTAACTCACACTACCCAATGCTTACTGTCACCGGGCAAATCTCAAATATTGAATCTTGTCATCTTCTGCATTTTGTATTTTAGAATCTGATCTGAAGGTTGTGATTTCTCCCTAATAACCTTATTATTTGAGGATAGCTGCTCTGAGCTATAGGATGAGTCACCTCCAGCTGTTTCTACCACTATGGGAAAGGTAGCGAAAGTTTCACTGTTTGATTAAGCATGAAAGTCTGAGTCTTATGTTAAAAGTTGTGATTTAGGAGACCTCTGGATTCAAATACTATAGGCACAGATCTTTAGGACCTGTAGCATGGCTACTAAGTAGCACAAGAGCCAAATGCTGACAATTTAAAATTGTTACAAAATTGTAATTAAGAAACAGTTTTAAGAAAATGAACCGCCTCCGTGGTCTAGTGGTAGAGCGTCCGCCCGGAGAGTGGAAGGTACGGGGTTCGATCTCCGGCCGCGTCATACCAAAAGACGTTAATAGATGGTACTTGTTGTTACCCTGTCTGGCGCTCAGCATTAAAGGGCTAAAACAAGGACTGGTCGGCCCAGAGTCAGTATACTGTGTCTGAGTGGGGTATTTATGTTAAACTGGGGCATGATATCTAAGTGTGCTATCACTATTAATCGGCATCAGTCCGGACTAGTACAAGCAGCCACATACACACATGTGCATGCATGTCGCTATATAAGTGCAATAATCTTAGACGCGAATCTTAGAAAATGAAACAGGTTGACCTGGTTGTGAAGATTCTCATTGATGAGTTGGTTCTATAGTGTTGTGTTTGCTTGTTGCATTAATATTTGAGGATATCTGGATTTGATCACAATGGTCAATCTGCTCTGAGTGTTATGTCCAGAACGAGGGGGGATATCTGTTTTAGATTTATTGTACAGGCCTGCATGTGTTTGGTCTGTGTTTGATAATCATTCTATGTGAAAGAACATGTCCATCATGTTCATGATGTTTGCTTACGTTTAATTATCCTGGCTATGACCCTGGACCCCAGGATATCCTTACTTTTTAACACTATATATTGGCGTAAAGATACTCAAGATATTTTCTATTGCTCAGTTTTAGCACTATGTCATAATTGTCTGTTTGTGACATGAGCCCGGAGAGAGGAATAACGGTGGTTAGATCCTTGCCCGCGTCATACCAAAAGCTGTTTAAAGATGGTACTTGTTGTTAGCCTGTCAGACGTTGGTCATTAAGGGGCTAAAACACAGACTGGTCGGATCGGAGTCAGTATGCTGTGTCTGAGTGGGGTATTCATGTTAAACTGCAGCATGGTATCTCAGTGAGCTAGCACTATAAGTCGGCATCAGTCCGGATGAGTACAAGCAGCCACAAACAGACACACATGGTGTAATTGAGCTAGTCTGCCTGAATCCAATTAAATGATTTGATCATGTTGATATTTATTATTTAAGAACCAATTATTGTTTAGTAAGTATTCTTACCACAATGTTTAGTGTGAAGGGCAAATAGCTTTCTTTTATTTGGATGTTAGTTCTTTCTTTATCGACAATTGATCATGATGATGGAGCATTGACACTGCAATTTGGAAAATTTGGAAATGTAACAAGAGAATGAACTTAACCTGTTTTGTACTTGTTACCATGGTTACAGTGTTGCTAAATTAAAAACCTTAAGATTCCAGTGGTGCATTTATTTAACATCCTTTGTCGCCTTTATCATCATGATCATGTTTATATGTCTTTTTCTCTTGTTATTGTTAAACAATATACAGGAAATTGGCTAAGGAAAAAAGTGATTTACACAATAAATAATTAGTGGTTCATGTAGAACTTCACAGAAGAAGAAGATAATAATTCATTTGTCTGATGTTTTGCAGAAAAATCGGAACTGTTTTGAAGCTCTGAGTTCCAAGTCCACCTGCGAGCACTGTTTGAGGACTCAAGATCTGTACATTGCCTGAGCTCTACTCCTACCTGCACACCATGGCTGCTCCGGCCATAGCAAACGGTGCCAGCACCAATGGCGTCCATAACACCAGTGAGCCTTGTCCTCGCAGATACAGGAGAGAGCCTCATCACAGGTGAGAGTAGGCGGTAACTTCTTGCATGTGCATCACTTCGTTTTCTCCTGAGACAATACTTACTCAGACCTGTCAACCCTCCCGCATTTTGCGGGAGACTCCCGCAATTTGATGAAATCTCCCAGTCTCCCCCAAGATGGACTATTTCTCCCGCAAAACAGAATTTTTCATTATTTAAAAAATTCGCCTCCATTGTCCCGTGAGTAAAAACAATGAACGGGAAGTTTGCGTCCCGATCTGTCCGGTAGGCTCCCGGATTAGCAACCCTTTTCACAGCCACCCGCAGGGGGACCCAGATGGGCCTTTGTCCAGTAATCAACTGGTAATTAAATTCATATGGTGAACGATTGAACAATGTAAACTGTTAAGAAAACTCAGGTAGTCCTAACAGGTGCCTGAAGGGTTGAACTTGAAATGAAAAATCAGCCAAGTATTCATCACTTCATGAAATGAACTGTTGTCTTCATGTTCTTAGCGTGTTTATTCTTCCATAATTTAAGAACGTAGATACATATGGCCAGTCCAGTTATACATGACTTTATTGGTTATCAGATTTGTCAGAAACTTTGTTAAAACATCAACATACCTCAAAGTTACGTCATTGAACTCTTGGAAATGAAAACAAAATATGTCCTACAAGCGCCGTCTTCAGAAACAACACTATGCGTGATCGGTTGATTCGTTAGTCGAAATAACAATGAGTTACACGATCACGCTTCCTCACAGCTAGGATTTCAAAGTCAAAGTTTAAAGTGAAACTTATAAATTTCCTTTTGACTGACATCGTGACTTGTGTGCACAGAAAATATCAAAACAGAACTTTATCAAATTTCGTGAGAATGTATCGTGATTATTTTACACGATTTGATTGGCTAATAGTTTGCTTGCGTCCCCGATCTACAATCTAATTTGCATACAACAGTACTAGTCAACCAATGAGATTAATACACGTCAAGGTCAGAAAGGTCAACAACGACAACGAGACTCATTTCATTCATAAATTGTAGTAAAACGTAATAGTACTTCCAAATATGGCATACATTTCTTGGAATGGAATAACGTGAACATTTCTAGGAAATTTAAGAAGCGAAATAATGGGACTGTCAACAGACTACTGCAGACAGAAAAAAAACCAGTATATCTTATTGAAATTAAGGGCGATGATGTTGCGTCAGGAAAAATGCATTTGATATTTCTTTGGCGAATTTTGTAACCAACATCGCGCCAAATACTCAGAAAACCTGCATCGTAACGAAGCCTGACAACTGGTCGGATTGAACACGTCATCAACTGGTCAAGCTACCGATTGTGAAATTTCAATATCTGTTTGCGTTTATCTGAGATGATCTTTGAACGAAAGTTATATGGGTAGATTGTGCTGGGTTTATTTTTGGAGGAGGAAAATGCAAACGGAAATTAAGCAAGCTGTACGTATAAGAAACTTATTGATTATTTATTGTTTCAAAATATTTGGTTTTCTTTGTAACATTATTAAAAATAAAAGTTGGAAATTATCTTATCTTCACTATCTTAAAAATCTCCCCCTTTGGAGGCAAATCTCCCCCATTTTGAAGTCAAATCTCCCACATTGTCATGATGAGGGGTTGACAGGTCTGCTTACTCTTTGAACATGTTGAAAGTAGATTTCAGCAATTGATCATTGTTGCAAAATAACCTATCATTTCCAGTAATTTCTTTTCATCAGTTCTAACAGCCTGAGTGATTGCATCGATGCATTGGCAATGCTATCTTACTGATTTATGTAAGACGAGCTGGGCTGCTGATTGCATGTTAGAAACATTACCAGACATTTCTGTGTGGTGAAGCCATGCGCGATACCATTTTACAACTGTTTTGACGGATCTTTGTGGTTGTTTTTACTGGGACATCTCAACGACTTCTGTGAGGTAAGTATCGTTAGAGCATCGGACTTTAACATTATTATTATTAACAACCAGGTTGAACTCCTAACATTACAAACAAATAATGTTATTTATTGTCATGAATTTCGGGAAAGTTTAGATATTGACTGCTTTTGTAAACACACATCTTTAGTTAACAACTCAACTTGATGGTATTTAATTAGGCATACTTGATGTTCATGAAAACGCTGCTGAATCTAGTTACAGCAGTAGAAACTAACATTTTTAGTTCACTAGTCCTTATTATCATAACATATAGCAAAACCCTTAAAAATGGCAATTTCTACTGGTCCTTATGATACCTTAACTATTGGGCAGTTTGGCAAGGACTACGAGACTAGTGCCAATTTCTAACGCTGACCTGTTAACTTTGTAAGAATAACACAATGATGATTGATATTTGACTCTTGGAATAATAATTGTAGCTCGATGGGTCAGGTTGGTTATGATTAACTTGCAACTAAATTTATTTAAAACAAAGTAGATGTGATCCAATACACTGATCCAGTATCACTTAACAAGCTGAATATAGATTTAGACAGTAATTTATTTGAATAGTTGTTGAGTTAGATACATAGCTGGGTAGATAGATGCCTTGTAGGGCTGGGACAGGTAACTCGGGTAGGGTCCTGAGTAGGACCCAGGTACCCACAGGACTACCCAGACCCGTGGTTAGTCACGTAATATATTGTTTAATGACAAAAACTCACTGTAGCTCAATGGTTACACAACAAGTCGCTAATGTTCGCATTTCTTTCTGACGATGCACACATTCCTTTTGACTTGTACATTTTTTAGTAAAGATAAAGCTTCAGTCAACTTCAGTGAACGCATGATCTGATTGTTTGATACATGTATCTAAATAGTTTTAGCCAGGGCTGTGGTAAAACAATGACCAATCAGACATTTTGTTCCCTACTCTTGAGACTTGCAGTGGGTACCCGGGTAGGGTCGGGTAATAGGGGGGCCGGTACGCGGGTAGTAAATTTGGACTCGTCCCAGCCCTAATGCCTTGGTAAAGGTCCCACCCAATCCACCCCAAAACCCTCAGGGTTGGTGGATGTGATCGTATGTAGCAGTGGAGACAATTATATTGGAGAGACTTCATGCCCCATTGCCACCAGAAGAAAGGAACACAAGAACTCTGTTGCCAAGTCTGATATGAAAACTGCCCTCTTCTTGCACCCCAACAATCCTGACCACAATATTACTGGCAAGAAACCAAAATTCTCAACACAAATATGAATCACTGGAAAAAAGGGAAACTGCATGAAACTAGTAAATTTCCAAAGAAACAAGCCAGCCATAAGAGGGAACAAGGCATCTACTTGCCCAGCATTTTTAGTCAATTGTGCTGTAGACAATCATTGCCCCCCAAATGGACACTTTCATTGTTATGATGTAACATTGTCATACATTGTTACCCTAGTCACTTTTTGTTCTCACATCCTGCTTCACCACGCTGTTTTCACAGCAGCTTAATTAATTACATGTAGTTAATCTTATTGGCTTCATTGTTGAAATTGTTATCTGTATACATTAATTCCACCCTGGTAATCATATCAACATGTATAGATATTAACTCACATATGCTGACCCAGTGTAATGTTGATAAAGGCTCAGAAGTGACCCAGACACATTACATCGCCACGAATAGCTGCAAAATTGCTGATGCGGCGTTAAGCTTTAATCATGTTTATCACTCAAAATTACAAAAATAGATTTATTTATTAAAACTTTCACGTCTTCAAACTTAACGAGTCTCTCGCGTATTTATATGACAGTATACACACCTGACTGTGTAAATTTTCCTCTGCTGCACAGATTAATAGAAGACTGTAATATAGAGATTTGTTAAGCATATTGCTGAACATTTTACAAGTTACAGCCCTCTCTAATTTCCTTCAAGTAACTTTATTTATTTTAAACAGCTTAACACTGGGAACGGGCCTGGCCTTACATCATCCCAGGTATAGTAGTACTTGGCTGAGCAGACCAAAAGATCCCTGGATTTGAAGATGGGTTAGGCAGAGTTCAAGATTAACATAAGTCTGCTGGTTCGAGACAAGTGAACTTAAGAAAGGACTAGTGACATTTCCTGGCAGACCACCACTTTTACCTGATGGATAATGATTTTTGCATACTAGTGAAAATAAACTTTAATTTGTAACCCTGGTTTCAGGTTATACATTGGTTGATTATGTGTCGTCATTCCCTGATGGTGTAGTCACAATCACTATTTACAATGATACAAATGAATATGTTTACATACAATTATTTGTAGATATTTGTAGAACATTTGGTAAAACCCACTGGTCACAATGTGTCTAAGTAAGTCTTCAGCAACATATGGTTGCTGTAAGAGGGGATTTAATGGTTTAGACATCAGGGTGTGGTGGGTTAATAGGTTGCGAGTTGTCTAACTTGATCATGTTGATGACATGGGGAGTTGCTCATAACATCAATCACAGGGTTAGTTTAAATGTCATAATAATGTTAAACAATGGAGAAATTTGAAAATTTGTACAAGCCCACAGCAATTTGTACTAGTGTCAATTTCCAACCCTGAATCACTAGTTGTCTGATCCAGCCACAGATTATTTACAGGCTGCTGTTACAGGGTATATCAGCTGTGATATTGATGAGTGCGGTATCAATAAACAAACATTACTTTCACTCATGCTTACATGATAGTGGTGTCACATCTCATCCAAAAGCAGTAGGATTATTCAGCTACACTATATTAAAACACATTAATGGTGTAAAGGCATGTAGATAAAAATAACTTACCATACTGGAACTGGAAGTTGATCATATATTGTTTTTTCAGTTGAAGAATTCAATTTATTTTGCAAAATGTACAGTTGTCGTAAAGTATATTGTGTGGCAGTTGAACAGATTTATTGCCTTGAACATGATTTGAGACAAACGGAAAGGTAGGTTTCTGTCTCAAACTGATACTTTTATTGCAAGATAAACATGCTGTGAAGGTAAGTGGAAACACAATAATATTTTTTGGTGAATTTTTTTTTAATCTTTGATTATGTTTTTATGAGGAAGATGATTTTTTCCCCTGCATTTATATCAAATATAGCGCATAATTCACTTAAACTAATTGTGTATAAAATGCAGGGGAAAAAATCATCTTCCTCATAAAAATATAATCAAAGATTAAAAAAAATTTCTCCGAAAAATATTATTGTGTTTCCGGACAACTGTCGTGGATTGTCCTGTTTTCGATCCTGTTTTTGAAATTTTACTGCATCCGTCATCTTTGTTTATTTGACTTGACTTTCTTTTGGGCAAAACCTGCTCACATCCCTGAAAATGGTTTCCATGCTTGTTTGCATTGACATTTGATTGTATACAAATTACAATACTTCAAGACTTCTGTGAGGGAGATATTAAACAGCAAGCGCTTAACATTGACTTTATTTAACTCAAGAACTGAACTGTAGCGGATCGTTACAGGACTACCAGTACAAACACTTACTCAAATGTGTGAGCAATTACAAGGCAAATGATGCAATCACCCAGACTGTTTTAGGCCCTTCCTGTTTAGCTGCACTTGTGTCACAACTCATTGTGCTAAACACAATAATGTAATTGTTGTAATGGGATGTTTTAGTGAAATCTGATATATGGATATTTGTTCAGCATAGCCTCTTTTGTAAATATGTTTGACATGAGGCAGTGTTGTGGATTTACATTTCAGTTCCTTTGCCAGGCAGAATGGGGCAAACAACAGATTTGTTCACTATTGGTCCTACTATCATGACTTGATTTAGGAAATCTTATGTTTATTATTTTTACTGACATTTGCCCTTGATCAGGTTGATTGGCATTTGAGAGTGGCTAGATGATTCTGTGTATAGCCCAGTGCAATGTCAGACAAGTCCATTTTATGTATGGGAGGTTACATTTCGTCTTTTCTGCATATTCTCACAGTTTTCACATCAATTATCTGTACCTTTTCTCCAATATCGATTGTCATATCAATCCCACTTTTGGAAGCAATCGTTCGGCCTTTGCATTGATCTACGTTGCCCAGCTACATCTAGGGGAACAAGTCACTATACACTCCCCTCTCAAAAATAACATTGTCCAATATATGTCATCAAGTTGCAAGCACATGTTTGAATCTCCAGAAAAGACATCATGATAGAACAATGTTTTATTGTGAAATAAACCACGCTTCGTTTCTTAATTGTTCTTTGAGATTTATCGCGTAGTTATCTCCTTTATCCCCATAAAGTACTGGCACTCGTGTTTTATCTATTACTTGGCACTGACTAGACAAGTGAAAGTACTGTAGCTCTGTACTGTAGCTCTGTACTGTAGCTCTGTCCTGTAGCTCTGTACTGTAGCTCTGTCCTGTAGCTCTGTACTTTAGCTTTGTCCTTTAGCTTTGTCCTGTAACACTGTTCTATTGGCCTCCTCAACAATACTGGTTGTAACCCTGAATATGTTCATCTTGCTGTGCTTGTGTCATGACTATAATCACTTGGTTGTGACTGAGTTGCATCTGTTTCAGAGTCTTTGTCAACCGTAGCCTGCATCTGGAGAAGATCAAGTTCTTTGGCTTTGACATGGACTATACACTTGCAGGTGAGGAATTTACACTATGGGCATGATTAAAAAGGTAGAAGATGGGTGTCTGCATTTTGTAGCTTTTACATTGACTTTACTTCAGTGGGTGAGTGAGTGAGTTTGGTTTTACACCACTTTGAAAAGTATTTCAGTTATATCACGGCGTGTCAGCTTTATGTGCGAGGGAACCCTGAAGTGATGCAGGTCTTAGAAGCTTACCACTTTGGTGAAACCCATGAGCATTAGTATCGTGCTGACAAACTGGGAAATAATCGGGGTCTATCTGTTATTCGAACTCACGAGGGATGCAACTCTGTACACCGAATTGTGGCAACTTAGATGACTGAGCCACCCATGTCCCAACTTCAGTCAGTGAATGCCAGTATTCAGATGCATTGAGCTTTGATGTTGGGGAGAAGAATGGCTGCAGCTTGTCCATTTACAAGTACATCAGTATTATGTATAAGTAATTAGCTCAACTGATCTGAAACAACTTTCGCTGCTCATGATATTTCATTTAGTTCTGATCAAAATGTCTAATGACATCATAAGCAATAGGGCACAAATTCTGAAAGTGAAGGAATTAGTTATGTAAAGTATTGTGATTGTGTGTTTCAGTGTACAAGTCACCACAGTATGAGACGATGAGCTTTGACCTCTTGAAACAGAGGCTATTGACCATTGGCTACCCCAAGGAGATCGGAGTGTTTGAGTATGACCCCTCCTTTCCTGTCAGGTGAGTTGGAAGATGAAATTACGCTTTGTGATTCATCAGTTTTGATGATGTTTCCCAGCAGGTGAATGTTTTCATTACGTATGTATTTTTATTCCTGTTTTATTCATGTTTATGCCACTATGGACTGGAGTGTGATATTCTGTTATCTTCACATCCTTCCTGTTATCATTTATCATAAAGTAAGATCAGTTGTCATATCTATATTATCATGAGCAGCTTGTGTTTAGCCAGTTATCAGCTTGTAATAGTGTATTGTTGTGTATTCATGTCATTTACTGGAACATGTTTCAAGGATCAGTGCTGTTACCAAACAAACAACATGATCAAGTGTCTTGATTCGTAATGGACTTCATGAGAATCTGTTGATTCTTTTTCTGGCATCAACAGATACGAGTGAATTTTCTGATTATGACCTGTAGTTGCGTCAGTTTTACTCTAAATGCATGTTCAGAATGGCCAGTGAATTCCTAGCTCAGAATCCACTGCAGTATCCATAGCATGATGTCATCATAAAGGTTTATAACCTGAGAAACTACATCATCCATGTAGAAGACATTATTTTTACAACATTGAACTCATCACATTGTACCAGACAGCAGTTTTGATGTGATTATGAAACTATTTGATGAACCTAATTTGCATATAGTACATTTCTTGTCCACGTGACCGTTCGGGTGAAACGATACAGAAAGGTCAAGATACGATATGTGTCATGATACATAGTTCCCGATACGATACTTATTGCGATACGCATATTGAGGTCAGATCGCATGGAAACTTCTTGACTATTATTATTTCAGAGCAGGTTCAAAAGGACACATGTTCGTAGCAGCTATTTTTAGAAGTGTACTTGAAACGCTAATTACAACACATTTTGCAATATTTTACTGACAAAATGCTGGGGGATCATGAAACGAGTAGTAAGTAATATGTTTTACTAAAAAATGTATCGTGTATTGTATCATCGCACGAAAACTCATGATGCACTATTGTACAGATGTATCGTTTCACCCCTACAAGTCAGTCAAGCCAATAGCATTGCATTATTTTGGCCTTAACTGGTCTAGGACGAGTCAAGCAGTTGATTGTTACTATGTGTCTCCCATTGTTAAAACATTCATAATATTTGGACCTATTGTAAATAGACCAGATAGTCTTTATGACAAAAACAGAAAAAATAGCCTTTAATGGTACAGGATTTGTAAACCAGTTGAGCACAACTCCAAATGAATATCTTGCCTTGGGCAATATTTCCCAATGACTGAAGGAATGATTAACAATTTGAAGTTCTTAGGAATATGAAAGTGTTAGAGTCTTTTGACCCAAATACAACTGAACATATCAATGTCAAAAAGATTTACTAGAGAAAACCATTTTGTGCACAATGCCTAACCATGTTTACTATTGTTTACTATTGTTTACAGTGTAACTGTACTATTATGAGTATCCTGATGTCATGTAACTTCAGATGCTGATTTGATGATACAGACTTGGTAAATCGCCTTTCATACGTCTCATGTTCCATGATATACATTGTTTCAACATTGATAACCTTTTATTTCTTTAAGCAAGCATTTCCATCAAGGCCAAAAACCTTGAAGTCAGATCAGTGGGATTAGCCTAGGTTTGTCTGACTTGAAGTTTTTATTGATGGAGAGGGACTAACCTCTAGCTGCAGCTACTAACATTGATAATGTGCCCTGTATGACTTGTTTGTCTGCTAGGCGGTAAGAGGCTCTCCGTGGTACAGGCGATCAGATTGGGCTGGCACGGACTACCCAGCCCAGTACCCGCCCAGCCAGTAGCCGTTCCAGCTAGACACAGGCGGGCGTGTATGTTAGCGTGGTCTACACTCTCTCACTTGAGGTTTTCTTTATATTATTGTAGTGTTTGCTGTGTGCTACACTCTCATAGGGACAATAGCTTGCCGTAATTGACAAGCAAACACACTCATCATCATTAAATGTAGTTTGACATTTTTGTGAAAACGAATAATTCCAAACTTCTCAAATTTATTCAATGAAAATATATATTTTTTCAGCTTTTGGAAAGAACAATTTTGTAGGAATCTTTTCTAAATGATTTCAGTTTGTAAATCTACCCATGCATGATGTATTTTCAGTCATCAATTATCAGTGATTATTTCTATTTTACTTGAATGAGCAGTTTTAATTGAGGCTTGTGTGTGTTGACAACAGTAGATTGTCTGAGACATGTAGATCTTGTCTGTCCTAGTGCAGCTGTGTACACAAAGAGCACACTTTAAGATCATCTCATGGAATGACACCTATGAAAGTTCTGAATGCAGTTATAAGATCTCATTCTTGTGTAACTGTACTACATAAGATAGACAGTAGTGTCCTGTTAGGTTCTTCAGGACAATATCTTCTTGTTGACCTTCCATAATATTTATTACAGAGGACTGTGGTTTGACAAGTGGTATGGTAACCTTCTCAAGGTGGATGCCTATGGAAACATACTCGTCTGTGTGCATGGTTTCAACTTTCTCAAACCGTAAGTAAGCAAGTTTGTTGGTAGAGACAATATGATTGATTCCTTGGCACTGACATGGGTTCCCGATATTCGATTCCCGACATGGGTACAATGTGTGAAGCCCATTTCTGGTGTCCCCTGCCGTGATATTGCTGGAATATTGCTTATAGCGGCTTAAAAACCATACTCACTCACTCACACTCACTCAAGAAGTGACTTCAATATTATTTTATCTTATCATGACTCATACTTATTGCTTATCTCTACTCATTTCTGAAAGGTACTTGAAACTTCCTGAACTGTGTTCCCGGAGAACAGAGAAACTATCTCACCCGAACGCACCCCTGGACTGTGCATGTGACCGAGCCTGGTTACTCGTCACTCTCTCATTTTCGCGGCAACCGGGTGGTTGGGGAAAACTTTCCTGAGCTTTGTAATCTGAGCCATCCTATCAAACTTAGCCCTTTTTCATTAAATCTTTTGCTTGGATTACATTCTTCTAACCTTCTGGTATCATTCTGGGATATGAATGTGGTACTTAATAACCTCACCAGTGAAGTTTATGAACCCTTTGAACTACTTTGAACATCTAACGCAGAAGACATTATTTTTACTAGCCCTAGCCATGGCAGCTAGAATGCCTGAGATTCATGAAATCAATTTCTGACGTACTCGATTTGACAGAGGCGAGATTGCATCAGCTCATCTCAGCCTGAGATGGGATTTTTCCACCAAGAATCGACTACCTGGTTAGCCAGATTGACAGTTTCATATTTCACCACTTTCATCAATCCTAGGTTCTGAGGACACAGAGGATTTATCCTTATTTCCAGCTCCAGCCTTATGCATCTACCTAAACAGATCAAGCTCCAGACGACAGAAACTAAGAAAATTGTTCATTCCGTTATCTAGGAATAATACCACAGTAGTATCAAGAACAACCACTTCATTCTGAATGAGATCAGTAATCTTCTGAGCCTACAGAGTGGCAGGACTAGCCCCCACCCTAACCCTCTGTCAGCCTCCAATCCACATGAAGTGAGAGCCATAGCATCTGCTTTTGCGCTACATGGAAATTGCTCCATTCTGACAATTATGTCAAGGTTATTTCTCGAGATCAGATGTGGTTTTCACAACCATTACCTCAGAGATTTCAACATAAGATGTGTGGCTGGCACCCACCACCAACCATGGGATTCAAGCAATAAGTATGAGTCAGGATAAGATTAAATATGTATTTTTTGTTGTTGTACAAAATATTTTTATACTTATCCTGACTCCTACATTAAAGCGCCCACCCAGCCGTCCCCACTTTCCTGTTTTGGCCGAATTAGGTACAGGAAATGAGAGAGTGACGTGTAACCGGGCTTGGTCACATGCTTCCAGTGCACATGCTCAGTCCAGGGGTGTGTTCATGTGAGATGTTTTCTCTGTTCTCCGGGAACACGGTTCATGAAGTTTCTACTCCCTTTTGGAAATGAGTAGAGTTAAGCAATAAGTATGAGTCCGGAGAGGTATAAATAATACTTTTACCTTAAACAATACATTTTTGTGATTATGGAGGTATAAATGTAAAAACTGGTGTGCATACTGTGTAAATCTGAGTGGCACACATAAGTGTACAAACTGTTTGGTACGTTTAGAACTCCCTAAACACAAAAACATATTAAACATGATTAAAGTCAATTCTTCTAAATATATCCATCGTCAATAGTAACTTTACAGACTGCTTTTTTAATCATCAACACAGAAAACAGTACAAAATCAGTGACGTTCTCTCTTAGCCACTGTGCACAGTTATTGACATTATGAAACCCTATGCAGTCACTCACTCTTGGTCACTGTGCACAGTTGTTGACATTATGAAACCCTATGCAATCACTCACTCTTGTTCACTGTGCACAGTTGTTGACATTATGAAACCCTATGCAATCACTCACTCTTGTTCACTGTGCACAGTTATTGACATTATGAAACCCTATGCAATCACTCACTCTTAGTCACTGTGCACAGTTGTTGACATTATGAAACCCTATGCAATCACTCGCTCTTGGTCACTGTGCACAGTTGTTGACATTATGAAACCCTATGCCATCACTCTTGGTCATGTTGGTCACTGTGCACAGTTGTTGACATTATGAAACCCTATGCCATCACTCTTGGTCATGTTGGTCACTGTGCACAGTTGTTGGCATTATGAAACCCTATGCCATCACTCTTGGTCATGTTGGTCACTGTGCACAGTTGTTGACATTATGAAACCCTATGCACCAGCTGATGCACAGTTGCTTCCCTTCGGCATGCAAGATACCTATCACAACAGATTGGCCTTGTTGATGTTTCTCATTAAACCAAATGCACTCACCCTTTCATAATCCTTATTACAGATTTATTGGATATAGAATTGTACTCTTATGTAGTGGTTATTGTGATATGAAATTGATAAAAATGGAAATTAATATTATTATCATAATTATGTTGATGACATGCAACATCTTGTCTGTACTAACAGTAACATAACCAACCCATGAACCATCTGGCCTGACTCTATTTCCAGCAATGAGGTGGCAGAGCTTTATCCAAATAAGTTCTTGGCTCTGGATGAGAGGAGACTGTTTGTGCTCAACACACTATTTAATGTCCCAGGTTAGTATTCAGATGGAGTTTAGGGGACTTGGGTTGTGTAACGCTGTTAATTCTGATGAATTTGTACACTATTTCCCCTGATATGTTCTAAGGTTATTGTCACATGCCAGTATCACTGAGGGTGCCAACCCTCTCCTCCCCTGAATCCTGAATACCATCTTATTTTTCACACTGCTCACCCCTAAATCCTGAATACTACCTAGCACAAATCTCAAAAGCATTGAGAAAATGGTGCAATTTGAAATTAAATTACTGCAAAATACTGAAAACATAAATAAAACTTTTAAGTACACCATTATATTTTTTGAATTATAAATCTATGTACCAAGTACGATTTTTGTTTGTGTCCTGCTTACCATGCTTACCATGCTTACCATACTGTTGATTTCCGAACACCCTCTAAATAGAACACTGAATCGTGTGTACCCATGGGGGTTGACAGCCTCATCTTGGATAGAATGTAGACATGATTAAACAGGTAGGTCAATGGGTCATAGTCCATCTGTAGGTCACTGACCCAACCCGTTACTGATATGCTGACCAAGCATATCTACAGCTATGCATTGTCGACTTGCCAAGCATGTTTGGCCTGTATTCAACAGACTGGCCCATTGTATAATGGATGACCTATTTTTAGCCTACTGACCCCGAGTGACCCCAGGAGATGGGTCACCTGGCTACATGCACAGTATGACAGTGTATTCATCAGGGTTTGAATTGGTTGGAAAACAAGTATAGATTAAACACTATTTGGGTTTTGGATGACCGTTTCACTTGACTTGGCTTGGTTCATTTTCACTAACAAACATCAGTTGTGTTTTGTGTTCACAAAGTTATGGGGTGTGATCTGAAGTTTCTAGGTAACTTGGTCAGGGCTTATGGTGTCAGTCTTTGTCTAACATGGGTCTTAAGTTAGTAAGGGGTTACAACAAAAGGGGAAATACTCCTTTATATCAAATCCTTGATGTTTTTCTGGTGGGAGCATGCAAATATGACTATGAACATTGTGTAACATAAAAGACTTTTATTTTCGTGAACAGATTTTTTTGGCCCCAAATTATGGTGGGTAGATAGAAAAAGTGAGAAAAAATTAATCACATTTCAAGTATTGTTTTTATTTTCTCAAAATGTTGAGTAGGTAGGAAAGAAAAGTTAGGGTGAGAGTTAGTAGGATAACTTTTAAACAGGTTTTTATTATAGTATTTTTAATAATTTATGTATTTCTATAGAGACAGTAAATGAGAGGTGTTTTCCCCCTAGCTAGCATATAGTGCGGAAGGATGGGGGCAGAGGATATAGTCATCATCTGGTCTGTCTGTCCGTCTGTCTGTCTGTCAATATTTTGTTTCCAAAGCATAACTTGAAAACCGCGAAAGATTTTTCATCCAAACTTGGTACATGTATTAACCAGGGGCTGAAGTTGTGCATTTGCTAGTGTGGGGGCTGGAGAAAATTTGTCATTTTCTGATGACTCTTGTTTTTCTATGGCCTTTAACTTATTTCTAGTCAACTATTATCTTTTTTCAACTGTTTTAATGTATGTAAATGTATAGCAATTAATTATGCTTGTTGTAAGAGGCTAATGGGATTGAGTGGTCAGGCTTGCTGACTTGGTTGTTAGGCCATGGTGTAAAGATTGCTCCTTGCAAGCAGACCCTATTGTATCTTTGGTGACCTGGTGTTTGTTTATTCCAGAAACCTACATGTTAGCCTGCATAATAGATTACTTCACGTCATGTCAACACTACACAAAGTAAGTAGCATTAGCCTTTTTTCAAAGTATTCAGATCTATTTGCTAGTGGTCAGGACATTGTAAACATTGTGAAGGATGCCAACATGAGTTATTACAAGCACACTCAGATAATTACTCCCACATGTTCAAATTGAAATGATTGAGGGTCTGGAAACATTGTTTATTGGGTTTCCAAGTCTTAAGTGGTGGCCCAGGCATCTAAGGTACCTCAGTGTGCTGTGTAGAATTGCGTCTTTCAGTCATTTGAGAATCTGGTGATTGTCAGATCGAATCACGTCTGTTCTCTGATTATGGGACTCCCAGGAGTGCAGAGAGTTGGTGGTTCAATCCCCATGCCATTTCCACACATGCATGCATGTCGCTATATAACTGCAATAAGCTTGGACGCGACGTTAAACCCAATTTCACCTCACCTCACCCAGGCCATGTCATACCAAAAGACGTTAAAAGGAGTTTTTTTTTGTTTCCCTGCCTTGTGTTCAGCATTAAAGGAATACAACAAGGACTGGTTGGCTTGAAGTCAGTATACTGTATCTGAGTGGGGAAAACTATTGATCAGGCATTAGTCCAGACCAGAACAAGCTCTGGTTTAGGTTTGGCAGTTTTATACCTCTGCTCCTGTTTTTCATCAAAGTGGTCAACATCTTCAACCTGCATTTCTTAGGTATTTTTCCCACATTAAACTTCCACATGGACTGAACACAAAATACTGTTCAAAGTGATGTTAAATCCAACTCACTTACTCACCCACAAAGAATGGCAACATGACTTAGCTTATGATCTGGAGATTTGTGTTTCAGGGAGAAGGAAGGTGTAAGGAGTGGAGAACTGTACATGTCTTTCAAGTCAATCTTCCAGGATGTCCGCTCAGCTGTTGACTGGCTTCATTACAATGTGAGTTGAGTCAGCAGATCAATGCTGTCCTTGTTTGTACACAACAGGACCCCCTCCGTGGTCTGGTGGTAGAGCCTCTGTTTGATCCTCAGGCGCGTCGTACCAAAGACGTTTAAAGATGGTACTTGTCTGGCGCTCGGCATTAAGGGGCTAAAACAAGGACTGTTGGCTGGGAGTCAGTATACTGTGTCTGAGTGGGGTATTCATGTTAAACTGCGGCATGGTATCTCAGTGGGCTAACAATATAAAATTGGCATTAGTCAGGACTAGTACAAGCAGCTGCACACACACACATGTGCATGCACGTCGCTATATAAGTATAACAATCTTGGACACGACGTTAAACCCCATTTTATACTCACCTGACAGGTCTTTAGCATGTTTAAGTTCCTGGTTGAGATGCTACATTGTGCCAACAGTACTGGGAGTTACCTCCATGACATGTTCACAGCATTAGAAATTGGCAGTAGTCCTATAGTCCTTGCCAAACTGCCTAATAGTTAAGGTATCCTTAGGACCAGCAGAAATTTGCCATTTTTAAGGGTTTAACTATATGTTATCATTATATGGACTAGTTGACTAAAACTGTTAGTTTCTATCGCTGGTTCAGGCGACAAGATCCATGCAGTGCTGGAACAGTATTGAGTATTAGCTCAAATGCATTGATTTGAAGTAGGTCCCAACTCACAGCAGTGTAAGTTGCACAATCTGAGATATTTTGGGTTTTCATAATCAAGGATTAAGAACATTGCAATATATTCCTGTTTTGCATTTGATGAGTGTTCTGGGGATGGAATATTTGTACTTGACTGTTTTCACATTTGCATGATTTGTGTTAGTACAAAACTGAATTTGCCATATTATGTCATGTATGTAGGGCACCCTGAAGGATGAGACCGTAAAAGAGATGGACAAGTACGTGCACCGAGATGAGAGACTGCCGCTGCTGCTACAAAGGTACCTAGGGGTTGTACAGTGCAATGAAGGGAGTCCTGGTACTGGGGAGGGTACTTGTCAGGGGTGCTATAGAAAGCCATGATATGATACATATCTTGATACATTGGTCTCTTCATACACCAGAATGACAACACAAAGGCAATGAACTGAAATAGTTGTGTAATTTAAGAGAAAAAATAATGTCATTTAACATGACAGTCAGTTAATCTTGATGCAGATGAACCTCTCATAGCTATCCCCAAAGTATGTATTTTGTATCATCATGTATCGTGATACAAGTTTGTATGTATTGTGTATCATATACAAGGCCATGTATCACGGTGCATCATACTTAGTGAACCTTTTCACTCTCAGTACTAGTTTCACTGCTAATATTACTTTGTTGAACTACATTAGATCCAGGTCAGAGAATTGGCCTTCAGCAACCCATGCTTGTTGTAAGAGGCGACTAACAAGATGGTGGTCAGGCATGCTGACTTGATTACCCAATTGTGTGGAACGATGCTCATAATATCAAGCACTGGATCGTCTGGTCCAGACTAGAATATTTACAGACTGCCGTCATATACCTGGAATATTGCTTGTGCAGCGTTATACAACAAACATTAGCTTAACAGTTTCAACTTATGTTTCAAACAATGTTGATGAGTGTATTTGTTCAGCAACCTGACATTTTGGCAGGTCAATCACTGTTTGGTTTAACATCATGATCATCACCCAATCCATGCCACACTTCTAGCATGTTAACCTTCCATCGTACATTCTACATGACCATAGTGACCCGTGAAGATTCCGGGGTAGAATAGGTCTTCAGCAACCCATGCTTGCCGTAAAAGGTGACTATGCTTGTTGTAAAAGGGGACTAACGGGATCGGGTGGTCAGGCTCGCTGACTTGGTTGATACATGTCATCGATCCCAAGCGCGTGGATGGATGCTCATGATATTAATCACTGGATTGTCTAGTCCAGACTCGATTATTTACAGACCACCGTCATATAGCTGGAATATTGCTGAGTGCCGCGTTAAACAACAAACCAACCAACCAACCAACATGACCATAGTTAGTTGAGGAAACACAGATCTACAGTGAATATGAAAGGTATATTATTAACCTGAGATGGAAGGTTGTTTGAGATTTTGTATTGTGTCTGGACATGCTGGAAGGAAGGCTTTCTGTATTCATTTTGTTTGTGTCCTGACTTGATGTATCTGGTCCTGAAATATGAACTGTGTCTTGCTCCCTTGACAGATTGAGGAGACATGGCGCCAAGACAGTGCTGATAACGAACAGTGAATATCTCTACACTGATGTAAGTTGACTGGAACATGTAGAACCAGAGCATTTTTTAAATATTCTCTAGTATGACTTGAGCTAATCTACTTCATCCCAAGACAAACCAATAAGAGGAAATCCTTTGTAAATGGTATCAGGGTATTTCACTTGTACCTATTACACGATCCTGGGTCACAGATGCCAGAATTTGGTGTGCAGAGTTGCCAGAAACATGTGATTGTGGGTTTGAAACTTGGTTCACCTTGGTGATGTTTCTAGGTTTGTCCCATGCTGATTGGTTCTGCCTAAGTCCTAAACATCTAATACCTGCATCAGTTTTTGACCCGTGAAGATCCAGGGTAGAATAGGTCTTCAGCAACCCATGCTTGTTGAAAAGGCTACTATGCTTGTCATAAGAGGCGACTAACGGGATAAAGTGGTCAGACTCGCTGACTTGGTTGATGCATTTCATCGATCCCAAGCGCGTGGATTCGATGCTCATGATATTAATCACTGGATTGTCTGATCCAGACTCGATTATTTACAGATCGCTGTCATAAAGCTGGAATATTGCTGAGTGTGGCGTTAAACATCAAACCAACCAAACCAACTTGCATCAGTTGAGGCTTTCCTCCCAGATCAGCTGACTTATTACATGATATAACTGAAATACTGATCAAAGAAGTGTTAAGCCAATCACTCATTCACATGACAGAACAGCCATTGTTGGCACTGACCTCATTTTGGCCCTGAAGTATCAAGTGTTAACATCATGGAGTTTTGATTTTATACCCCCGACCTTTTCCGTCCGAAAACTTTGTCCTCGCGATTTCTCTTAAACTAGTCAGTGCATTCATCTCAAACTTAGTACTTTTAATATGTGTCATATGGAGGGGTGCAGTCAAAAGAAAAAAAATTGTTTTTATTGATTTTCCATTTTTTTATGAATTTTTCAAACCCTAACCCTATCCTAGCTATTTAATTTGAAACTACTGACACACTCGGCGGGTCGGGGGTATTAATGAGCCCTGCCCACTTTTGCCCTAGTTTCACTTTATTTTACCCACTCACTCACTTTATTTTACACACCTACACACTCACTCTTTATTTCCCTTAGTTTTGGATTACCATTGAACAAAGAGTTTTGCTTTTATTCTCCAGAAAATAATGACCTACCTGCTGGACTACCCATCAGAGGTAAGTTTTCTTACCAGTTGATCATACAGACTGGAATAAACATGTAAATGTTGATAAATTTTGTGTCCTATTGGGAATTCTAAGATGCATTCAGTAGGTTATGATAGCACTGTTCTTAGCATGTGTGGATGCAAAACCTGCTGAAGGGAATCAGATGTGAGTATATGCTTCCTTAGGATGCAGGTGTTTGTGTAGCTCATTGTGACATCAATATCTGTATCTTTTCGTTAATAGGTGTATAATTACAGCCCAAATATGTTATGTCTAAACATCTTGTCTGTTTGTGTAGGACGGTACAGTGCAGGAGTGGTCCACCTTCTTTGACTGTGTCGTGGTAGATGCCAAGAAGCCTCTGTTCTTTGGGGATGGGACAACTCTCCGTCAAGTGGATAGAGTAGGTCAATTCTATGTGACGCTTAGTCTGTTGGGGCCAGGTTAAATTATTTTTTTGTCTACCAGCTGATAGCAAATCTTTATTTGTTGTTTGATTAGTTTATTATCACATGTTCATAATGAGACACTCCTGTGTCCAATCAGGGGCAGACCTGCTCCGTGGTCTATTGGCAGAGTGTCCGCTCGGAGAGTGGAAGGTTTGGGGCTTAATCCCTGGCCAAAAGACATTAAAAGATGGTAATTGTTGTTACTCTGTCTGAGGCTCGGCATTAAGGTGTTAAAACAAGGACTGGTTGGCTTGGAGGGAGTATATTGTGTCTGAGTGGGGTATTTATGTTAAACTGCGGCATGGTATCTCAGTGGGCTAGCACTATAAATCGGCATCAGTCCGGACTAGTACAAGCAGCCACACACACAAGTGCATGCACATCGCTATAGAAGTTCAATAATCTTGGACACGATGTAAAACCCCATTTCACCTCACCAATCACTAGCAATGTGACTTAGTATCCCATATGATGCTTACTGTATATAATGGCAAATAATGTCATCACCTAAACAATGCTTCTGTTAATGCTTATGTTAGGATTGAGTCATGTTTTCAAAGAGTTATAGTTATCAGTATCTGCCAGCTAAGATTGTACTTATTCTATCATTTCAATATTCTCTGATGGAGAGTAATTTGTCTGCAGAGCACAGGGTCCCTGAAGCTTGGTGATCATATTGGGGCTTTACAGCCAGGGCACATATACTCAGGAGGTAGGACATTGTTGATGAAGGCATAGGCGCTTTCCCCTTGGTATCTACACGCTTGGTTTAGGTATATGTATCCAAGTGGTGTTGATTAGTAACCATGGTAACTGGTCAACTTAACAAATATCCCAGTCATTTCTGTTTGTGCAGTTTTGTTTTGAAAGCATGATTACCACATTTGATTCATAATAGTGATTGAATCATATCATGCAAGGGTAATTAAGAGTGCTTAAAAGTTCTAATCATGATAATTATAACAAAATTGTATCAGAAGTACAAGACCGCCTCGGTGGTCTAGTGGTAGAGCGTCCGCCTGGAGAGCGAAAGGTCCGGGGTTCGATCCCCGACCGCGTCATACCAAAAGACGTTAAAAGATGGTACTTGTTGTTACCCTGTCTGGCGCTCGGCATTAAGGGGACTAAAACAAGGACTGGACGACTGGGAGTCAGTGTACTGTGTCTGAGTGGGGTATTCATGTTAAACTGCGGCATGATATCTCAGTGAGCTAGCACTTTAAATCGGCATCAGTCCGGACTAGTACAAGCCGCCACACATACACACGTACATGCACGTCGCTATATAAGTGCAATAATCTTGGACGCGACGTTAAACCCCATTTCACCTCACCTCACCTATCAGATGTACACAAGAAAGTTTTGTGTGTTTGTGTGCTTATTGTGTAAAGGTGTGGAAATGGCTATCATTAGCTCAGTTGGATTTCAACCACCCTCAACACCAATTTAGACACCTAACACCAAGATAACAGTCAGAAGAAACATGCATCACTGTGTTACTACTAAGGGACATTAGTACCAACTTGTGTTTTATAAACCCTGTACTATTGTTTTTTTATGATTGCTGCATATTTCCTTTAGGATCCTGTGATGTGTTATCCCAGCTTCTGGGGGCCAAGGGACGCGATGTTCTGTATGTTGGCGACCACATATATGGTGATATCCTCAAGTCTAAGAAGAAGCGTGGATGGCGGACATTCCTTGTTGTTCCTGAGCTTGGACAGGAGTTAAGGGTGTGGACAGACAAGCAGGAGCTTTACAAACAGCTGGAAGACCTGGAAGCTGTGTTGGCAGATTTGTACAGGTAGGCAGACATACAGGTAGTCAGACATGCAGGTGGTCAGACATGCAAGTGGACAGAAATACAGGTAGTTAGACATGCAGGTGGACAGACAGAGACGATAGACATACAGGTAGTCATACAGGTCGGCAGATATACAGGTAGTTAGACATGCAGGTGGACAGACGGAGACAGGCAGACATACAGGTGGACAAACATACAGGTAGTCAGACATACAGGGAGGCAGAAATACAGGTAGACAGACATACAGGTAGACAGAAATACAGGTGGACAGAAATACAGGTGGACAGACATACAGGTAGACAGACATACAGGTAGACAGAAATACAGATGGACAGACATACAGGTAGACAGACATACAGGTGGACAGAAATACAGGTGGACAGACATACAGGTAGACAAATACAGGTGGACAGACATACAGGTAGACAGAAATACAGGTAGACAGACATACAGGTAGACAGAAATACAGGTGGACAGACATACAGGTAGACAAATACAGGTGGACAGACATACAGGTGGACAGACATACAGGTAGACAAATACAGGTGGACAGACATACAGATAGACAGACATACAGGTAGACAGAAATACAGGTGGACAGAAATACAGGTAGACAGAAATACAGGTGGACAGACATACAGGTAGACAGAAATACAGGTGGACAGAAATACAGGTGGACAGAAATACAGGTAGACAGACATACAGGTGGACAGAAATACAGGTGGACAGACATACAGGTAGACAGAAATACAGGTAGACAGACATGTAGGTAGACAGAAATACAGGTGGACAGAAATACAGGTAGTCAGACATACAGGTGGACAGACATACAGGTAGACAGACATACAGGTGGACAGACATACAGGTGGACAGACATACAGGTGGACAGACATACAGGTAGACAGAATTACAGGTAGACAGACATGTAGGTGGACAGAAATACAGGTAGACAGACACACAGGTAGACAGACACACAGGTAGACAGACATGTAGGTGGACAGACATACAGGTGGACAGACATACAGGTAGACAGACATACAGGTAGACAGACATGTAGGTGGACAGACATACAGGTGGACAGACATACAGGTAGACAGACATACAGGTAGACAGACATGTAGGTAGACAGACATACAGGTGGACAGACATACAGGTAGTCAGACATACAGGTGGACAGACATACAGGTAGACAGACATACAGGTGGACAGACATACAGGTGGACAGACATACAGGTGGACAGACATACAGGTAGACAGAATTACAGGTAGACAGACATGTAGGTGGACAGAAATACAGGTAGACAGACACACAGGTAGACAGACACACAGGTAGACAGACATGTAGGTGGACAGACATACAGGTGGACAGACATACAGGTAGACAGACATACAGGTAGACAGACATGTAGGTGGACAGACATACAGGTGGACAGACATACAGGTAGACAGACATACAGGTAGACAGACATGTAGGTAGACAGACATACAGGTGGACAGACATACAGGTAGACAGACATGTAGGTAGACAGACATACAGGTGGACAGACATACAGGTAGACAGAAATACATGTTGACAGACATACAGGTAGACAGACATGTAGGTAGACAGACATACAGGTGGACAGACATACAGGTAGACAGACATGTAGGTAGACAGACATACAGGTGGACAGACATACAGGTAGACAGAAATACAGGTAGACAGACACACAGGTAGACAGACACACAGGTGGACAGAAATACAGGTAGACAGACACACGAGTAGACAGACATACAGGTGGACAGACATACAGGTAGACAGACATTCAGGTTGACAAAAATGCAGGTAGGCAGACATGAAGAGATTTACAAATTGATGCTCATAATGATAAATATACAATTTGGCTGAATTGGTTAAGGGTTTGCCCATTTTACAGTAAAAGAGATGTTGCTGCTGAAATGCTGTTTGTTGGCAACTTGCTTCTTCTTGGCATATATTGCTTAGTTATGTCTTCCTCTGTACCTCCTTCAGGAACCTGGACAGCAGTACACTTGATAAACCCAACATCAGTGGCATCCAGCATTCCCTCAGGGTGAGTCTAGACTCTAGACACACTATCTTAGTGTCAGTGCAGCCTCAGCTTGTTCATCCACCAATCAGTAACCAACTTCACAGCTGCCTTCACAAATTGTTTCTTTGTACTTGAAGTGTTAAGCTGTATTCTATAACCAAGTGTGTAAGGGTATTGTACGACCAGACCATGGTGTACAAAGCCTGTATTGCACATCTGCACTATTTTAATACTGGGCCACAAACCTAACAATGACTTCCCCAAATAAAAGTGTATAGAAAGGTTCATTAAAGCCGCTCTGGCCAAGCTGAGATTTGTATTCATCTAACTGTGAAATTTGCACAAAAAGTGTGTTCCATGTTAAAAAAAAAGGGGCATTTTGTACACCATGCGTAATAGATTTGTGCAGGTTACATGGTGTCCACATGAAGATCTATTCACTGATAATTTACTTTATGAGAATATATTTGCGATTGCATTTAGAGACAATCTTCTCATTATGATTTATATGTAAAATTACTTGTGCTTCGTGGACACTATATTTAGAAAATATCAGTTTGTCCAGCTGATAAACCAAAACGGTAAGAAAAGTTCTTCCTTTCTGTTTAAAGTTACTTTATGGGGAAACTGTTATTAAAAAATATAGACATGGCAAGAGTGAAAAGGTGCATATACTTTTATTGAAAATATAATGCAGGCGGGCGGGCGGGCGGGCGGGCGGGCGGGTTCTCGGTGTCTTTTTTTTTTCATTGTACAAACTAGTATGTAACCAGTAAACAGTTGTGTAATCAATAAAACAATTGTGTACAATCAACCTGGGAAAGGGCCTCCCTACATAAATGTATTCCTTGATGAGTAAAATACTGGAATACAAGTTGGACTTATTAAAGGATTTTTTATATATTTTTCTTAAAAATTGAAATGAAAATGAAACATGCGGCGAACTTTATGATGATGCGGGCGGTGCCTGAGAACCAAGACTATTATTTTTTTTAGCCGAAGTTATGTGTATACTATGGCCCAGTAATGAAATACTCTACATGTAAATTTGTATATTTGGGACTCTTACCCTTCTGATGTTGCAGGATGTGGTTCACAAGCTAGACATGTCATATGGCATCCTTGGCAGTCTCTTTAGGAGTGGTGAGTACATACTACGTAGCGGTTTCAGGTTTACTCATGTGCAGAATGCAGTGTTCATACTTGAGCACAGGGTATTTTTCGATGATGATGTATGAATTATCACCCACATGCGACAGTTGGGTGCAGGTTTTCCAATACAAAAGATTCTCATATGTATACCACAACAATAATTATTCTATGACATTAGCATTTATCAGTGTGCTTCATTTGCTGGTGTTTGAATGGAAGTGAGCAGTGTGCAACATCATGTAGTAAGCTCCATCACAATGCGAGAGAGCTTCATTACACTCTCGACCCATGAAGATCCGGGGTAGAATAGGTCTTCAGCAACCCATGCTTGCCGTAAAAGGCGACTATGCTTGTCGTAAAAGGCGACTATGCTTGTCGTAAAAGGCGACTATGCTTGCCGTAAAGGTGACTATGGTTGTCGTAAAAGGTGACTAACCGGATCGGGTGGTCAGGCTCGCTGACTTGGTTGATACATGTCATCGATCCCAATTGCGCGGATCGATGCTCATGATGTCAATCACTGGATTGTCTGGTCCAGACTCGATTACTTACAGACCGCCGTCATATAGCTGGAATTTTGCTGAGTGCGGCGTTAAACAACAAACAAACAAACAAACATTACACTCTCATTTTATAGTACAGGGAATGAAATAATGCTGTAAGGAGCTTGTTGCAGTATTGGACATGTAAAACAGGCTATTTCATTGGCTCTTGTCATCAATAAACAAACTCAATGTTTGGCTTATGCTGACATGGGCAAAGATTGCTGTCCTCTTTTTGTAAAATCAGCAACATGGTGGTAACTGAATTTTTTACCAAAACAAAGTATGGAAAAAGACTGCAAATCTTGCAAACTCTGCCATTCATGAATTTTGAGTTGAGCAAGACTAATCTCACCTGAAAGAGCGAGCTGATGACATCTCTGATGTCACTATGGCAGAAACATTGTCCCGGACCGACCACTTTTTGGTTCGCTTTTTTTCTTCGCTGCTTTTTTACCAAAAGGGGAAGTTAACGACTTTTGAATGTACATTGACACACAAAAACATCAATTCAGGTGGTATTACTAACAGAAGCATCAGCACAGATACCTGGGATAACATGTTGCCTTTCAGAAACCAGGTTACGTGTTCAGAGTATACATGCTCTGTTTTAACCTGAAGTGTGTATTTATCTTTGTCAGGCTTGCAATTTATTTCAAAGGTAATTTTAGGCCATTAGTGTATTGAGTGATGTCCTATGAGTTTACACCTGTACACACATGCTCTGTTATTTCAGGTTCTCGACAGACGTTTTTAGCATCCCAGGTGATGCGGTATGCTGACATCTATGCCGGGACATTCCTCAACCTCCTCCACTACCCATTCTGCTACTTGTTCCGGGCTCCGGCCATGCTGGTAAACTACCATATCTCACAAGGAATATGCAGCTGAAATTCTGCTAGGAATGTCAGCTCACACATATCGTTAATGTTCATGAACTTTCCAATCGATACATTAGAGGTGAGGTGAGGTGAGGTGAGGCGAGATTGGGTTTAACATCGCGTTCAAGATTATTGCACTTAAATAGCAATGTGCATGCACATGTGTGTGTGTGTGTCTGCTTGTAGTCCGGACTAATGTACCCGTGAAGATCCGGGGTAGAATAGATCTACAGCAACCCATGCTTGCCGTAAAAAGGCGACTATGCTTGTCGTAAAAGGCGACTAATCGGGTGGTCAGGCTCGCTGACTTGGTTGATGCATGTCATCGATCCCAATTGCGTGGATTGATGCTCATGATATTAATCACTGGATTGTCAACCAACCAACCAAACTGGACTAATGCTAATTTTATAGTGCTAGCCCTCTGAGATACCATGCCACAGTTGAACATGAATACCCCACTCAGACACAGTACACTGACTCCGAGCTGACTTGTCCTTGTTTTATCCTCTCAATGTTTGCCAGGCAGGGTAGCAACAAGTACCATCTTTTAACGTCTTTTAGTATGACAAGAACAGGGATTGATTCGATTATTTATATACTGTTACCATGACAGTGATATATTGCGGCATTAAACAACAACCAATTATTCCTCTGCTTCCAGATGCCCCATGAGTCTACTGTGGAACATGAGCCATCACAGAAGGAAAAAGAGGAGGATTTCACTGGAATTGTGCGCAATCGATCCGTCAGCAGCACGCCTGAACTTGGAAGCCCCAAGAAACGAGCTCGTCAGACATCATCACCATCGAAACATGTGCTTCATCTTCGAGCCAACACTCCCCGTAAAGTCACCCATACACATGATGAAGATGATTCCGATGACTCTGAATCCTCCAATGCCACCAGTGATAAGTCTATTTAAACCTGCTAGTGACAGCACAGGCAACTAGATCTATGCAATAATGTAGACTTTATGGGTTGTGGATCTGTGAGGTGGCAGTGAAGATACGCAGCAGCAAGCACTGGTATGAGTTGTCGGTCAGGGATGTGTGGGTTGTGGGTGTAAAGCTGTGGGTGGGTGGGATCGCTGCCTGTCTGTGATTCATGTTAGAGACTGTACTGTCTGTATCCGGGGGATCTGTACTGTCTGTATCCGGGGGATCTGTACTGTCTGTATCTGGGGGATCTGTACTGTCTGTATCCGGGGGATCTGTGATGGATATCCCTGTTGTGAGGGATAACTGTTTGTCCATGGTATATCCTGTGTGTTTGTGCCTTGAATGTGATTTGTCTTAGTAACCTCAGTTAACAGGGATTAACAACAGACACATAAGGCAATATACAGTCAATTTTGTACTGTTATTCGCAAGAGGCATATTACTTACAGAAACATCAAAATATGGGGTCATTTTTTGTATGGTATCTTTCTTATGGACACTAAGGTGCTTGGTGTGTTCTTTTAGAATTTCAGTATTCTTTGATGAAAATGCTTTTCACTTTTCCTAACCTCTGTAGTAACATAATGTTGCTGACTGCTTATTTATCTATAGAGGATTGTTTGACATGGAAAAACAATTTGTTACATTTGTTGAAGATACAAATTCAGACTTGTATTTGTTTTGTTTTGTGAATTCATTTTTTGTAATTTGTTTTTCATCTATACACGGTTGTTTTAGAGGATTTGTTATTTACCACAGATTATGTTAAATGTAAACATGATGAAACAGTGATTATTTTATTTCCTGAAATAAATGACATGCGACAATGAATAATGAAACCAGTTCCTTGCTTATACTTGGGTTGTTGTAGCTTTATGATAAAGATGGATTTCTGTCAGAATCTGATTTTTAGATAACCTTGCTGGGATTGACCCTTTGTTTGACACAATTTCTTTGTACAGGCCAGTGGTAGATACATGTCAAATATTGAATTATAAGACGGAAATATTAAGAAATCCAAAACCTTGATTCTGAGCTGGTATTTTTTAGGTTTAACAGTGTTGTGTTGTTGATGGCTTTGTGTAGCTGCAATAGTAATCATTATGTAACCATTAACCTTCTTGGATGCATATGTCTTTGTATGAGATATACAGGCATTGTTATAGCACAAAAGACTGAGAAAATGTGAGGTCTTGTTTCTGTTTTGTTTACTAGATTCTGAACCCATTCTGAACATGGTGTATAGATGTATATACCTTGTATGGCTAGGATGATGTACCTCCTTCACTGGGTATATACAAACTTGGATGATGATGACAATACATAACAAATAATGTTTGGACTTATATTGTGCTAGAATCCATACACAAGGTACATGCTCAAAGCATTTACATTATTACCCCCGTCATTGGATCAGTGTGCACTTGCTTTTCATTCTCAGCTCCCTGGGGAGTATACAACCCAAGCTGCGTTACCAGGTATGAGAAGGTTAACAGTCACAAAACCAGGTACCCAGTTTACTGCTGGGTGAACAGAGGTATATTTCGAACAACATCACTTGCATAAGGAGACACCACATGTGATACATGTGTTCAGTGTGGGGTAGGACTGAAGCACTAGAAACTCTCATTTGTCGAGCTGGCAACCGCACTGATGATGGTACTGCTGACATTATAGATGACATATTGGCAAGCACTCCTGTTAGCTTCTTAAACATTATTATGCCCGAATATCCGAATCTACTACTGATAATTCAATTTTAGAGGTTAATAATCATAAGTCTTCGCCAAAACAATAAATCCTAACTCTCATCTTATTGTTTCATGTAGTTGTTTGTTAGAGAATTTACCTGCTAGTGTTTGAATGAGCAGGTAGTTTAACTGTGCCTTTCTTGTTAACACCATCTGTTCAGTAATTTCATGAAGTCCCTTTTCAAGTCAGAAGACTTTGATGTAGGTTCTTGAGTACTTTGTCAAACAGTTCCGTAAGTACCTTGTCAAACAAGTCCATGAGTACCTTGTCAAACAGGTCCATGAGTACCTTGTCAAACATGTCCTTGAGTAACTTGTGAAATAGTTCCTTGAGTACCTTGTCAAACAGGCAGGCCTTTGAGTACCTTGTCAAACAGGTCCTTGATGTTCTTTGTCAAACAGACAGGCACTTATGTACTAGTTTCTTGAAGCAGGGTATCTGTACTGCAATTTGTATGTGCTCCAATCCAAGGTCAGTCTAGGTGGAAGACATCAGTATCATGTATCCACGACCTTCTACCTCCAACACTGAATGCTCAGCTGTAGAAATTGCAGATGTTTGTGTGAGATGTGTGGTGTAGTCTTATCAGTGAGAACTGGGATCCATTAAGTCATTAAAAGTCAAATTTGTTGTTGTTTTACAATTTTGTGCCAACAATTGTTTTCGCAATCGAAATAGTGAATATTAATTTTCTCCTGAAACTTGTACCCAAGAATGGTGTGTGCACACTATAGCTAGCCAGTATAGTGTAGATACTCTAATTACCACTGAGTAATGACATCAACTTCTGCTTCTGAACATGACCATGTTGCTGGTTGGTTACTTGTGTGCAATTTGTATAGGGGATGTTGCAGGATACAAGCCTCAAGCCTCAGCATGTCAAACTCAATTTGTTGCACTTGTTGACATAATTCTACAGATTAATTCGAATAAAGGCCAACTGTTATTAGTGCCAAGCTAATGCCAAGAACTAAGGCTGTTTAAAAAATTAAATCTGTGAATCCTTGTACCATGGATACAAGTGTTGTGAAGGAATAGCTCTCATGAAGCCACTGTAGTGTCTGCTACACCCATGATTATCAAGTATATCACTGCATTATGGCCGGACAGCGTGCATCGATGGTCAGACTATCAGTCACATTCAAACAGTCTGCAACACTTGATGCTTCCAGCTCTCCTATCACCTGGGCCCCTTTCCACAAAGGGATCGTAGCGCTATAACTGTCGTAAAGTATGGTACTTACGATCGTCTTAGCGCTATGGTTGCTTTAGTGGAACGGGGCCCTGGACCACTCCTGTTCACAGTTCTTGGTTAGGTATGCACCCCACATTAACCTTAGTGTGTACACGATTCTGCTAAAGTAGCTCAATGAATATTTTGTGATGATGTTGATGTTTCTAGTTGTTTGGTTTTTAGATATCATTGCTGTGGAATATTTGTGTATTTTGTTTAAAGCAGCCTATATAACAAATCTGCTGACACATATTGGTATGATCACCATTTGAGACTTTTGACAGTAATGATACATAGGTTATTTTATGTATTTGTCATACTGACTAGTGTCCTGACACATCCAGCCCCAAGAATTTTCTACTCCTTTAAAATACCTTTGCATGTCTTGAAAATGAGCTTAGAAATATTGCTTTGCGATGGAAAGCATGAATTTAGACTATGAAATGCTTGATGAAAAAGTCATTTGAAGGATGAAATGAAAGCATTGGTGAGCAGTAATAACTGCATCTAGACAATCGTTAATTTGATGAGTACTTGTGACTTCTAAACTGTGGAGGACTAAGGGTATAGTTAAGCTGTCAGTATTAGATTTAGCTTAATGCTACATTATGTTTGTTTACATAACTCCATGCTGGGAAGTCATGCATAGAAGAAAACAAATATATTACTGATTATTAAGATTACCTAAGAATGAATATGATACAACTGTGCCTACAGACTGTTATGTGAAGTGATGCTGACTGCATAGTGAGAGTACTAACCAGTGAGGGAAGTCTTCTCACTGCATCTTGTAGAACATTGGTTTGTCTGACTTGCCTGCCTCAACTGCTGCTGATGACTAGACATGAATGTACAGTTTGAACCACACGATGGTGCTTCTATCTCAGTTACCATGTTTACACAACCAAACTTGCAAAAGACACTATTATTTTAATTTTTTAAATTATTAAAAAATTAATGTTGGATCATGTGCTTTTATGGGCAGTTATCTATTTTTTAATTTTTTTATTTCACACACTGTTTTTAATTTTTGTATGTCTATCTGTTTAGGATTGAAATTGTAGCTCAAAGAGCCTGTATTCTCTTGGTGTTGGTGTCTTGAAATAGAAGGTGGTATAAATGTTTCTATGACATCACCTGAGCAGTGTCACTCTAAGAGAGTAATCTAGTTTGAAAAAGATATTTTGCTTAACTTACAGTGCATGTCCAGCATGTAAACCTGCGACTGTCATTTTATTTAATTGTTGTAAATTATTTTTAGATTTTTATCCAATACATCCATGTCTGTTTTATATTTGGTGCTTTCATGTGTTAAATTTTCATTGATTTTATTTATCACCAATTTCATATTTATTGTGAAGAATTCTTTTATTTTATTCACCTGAGGCATCTTTGATGTGCAAAACAGAATATTTTAGCAGTGCTCATGTATTTGTTTTTAGCAGTGTTTGACTGTTTATTGTACACTACCATGTTAAAACCATTTTCTGTCATATACCCAAGGGAATATATATGAACCAGAGAAGAGTTCTGTGTTTTACAAGCATGTTGCTTGATACGAACCTTGCTTCTGATTAGTAAATTATAATGGTTGACAAACAGGACCTACGAGTATTTCTAGTTGATCTTTTCCAAAAGAAGGCAGTATGGTAGGTGCAGACAGCAGGATCAGAGAATTGTGATGTTTTGAAGATATGTAATGTTTGTTGTATTAAGAACTCCACACCTTTTACCAAGACAGGCTACCTTATCCTTGTCCAAGACTTTCTCCATATTTGGTCACAGGTTGCAATGTCCAGTATACCCTTTCCTTGTCACAGCATGCCATGCTCACTTCTTAGCCATGAGTATTGTTTCCTTCTCAGAGTGTACTGCCATGTATTTTCCTCAGCTAGACTGCCATATCCTAGATCAGTGTACTGTCATGTCCATTATCTAGCCCATCTACATTGTCTTTTCCCAAACTTACTTTTGCAACTTTTCCTTGCCTAGTTTGTCACAAGTTTTTGTGTCGTGTCCTTTTACCAGCGGACTACTATGTTTTATGTATTGTTGTGCTCCTCTCATCTTCATCATTTCCTGTTCCAGCCAAACTACTGTCCTTGACCCAACTGAATGTCATGTTGATTTCCTAGCCTGTCAACTATGATCTTGCTTCAACTTTGTGTCCTGTTCCAGCCAAACTACTGTCCTTGACCCAACTTAATGTCATGTCGATTTCCTAGCCCATCTTCTCTTATCTTGCTTCAACTTTGTGTCCTGTTCCAGCCAAACTACTGTCCTTGACCCAACTTAATGTCATGTCGATTTCCTAGCCCATCTTCCCTTATCTTGCTTCAACTTTGTGTCCTGTTCCAGCCAAACTACTGTCCTTGACCCAACTTAATGTCATGTCGATTTTCTAACCCATCTTCTCTTATCTTGCTTCAACTTTGTGTCCTGTTCCAGCCAAACTACTGTCCTTGACCCAACTTAATGTCATGTCGATTTCCTAGCCCATCTTCTCTTATCTTGCTTCAACTTTGTGTCCTGTTCCAGCCAAACTACTGTCCTTGACCCAACTTAATGTCATGTCGATTTCCTAGCCCATCTTCTCTTATCTTGCTTCAACTTTGTGTCCTGTTCCAGCCACACTACTGTCCGTGACCCGACTTAATGTCATGTCGATTTCCTAGCCTGTCAACTCTGATCTTTTTCAACTTTGTGTCCTGTTCCAGCTAAACTACTGTCCTTGACCCAACTTAATGTCATGTCGATTTCCTAGCCTGTCAACTATGATCTTGCTTCAACTTTGTGTCCTGTTCCAGCCAAACTATCATCATGTCAGTTTCCAAACATATGTACCAATACTAATGTCCCAACTTTCTTTAATCTTTCTCTTGATCAAGTTTCCCATGATTTTGTCACAAATATATTACTTGTGGCATCTCACAGTCATGTCATTTCCCTAGCCTATTACTATGGCCATGATTGTGTGTCCTTGTCCACCAATTCTTGTAGGTCCTAGTCACTGTTGATTGTCTAATCAGCTGCTCCAGTACTTTTACTGCCTTCTACATAACCTCAAGTTTACCATGATATTTACTGTAGAATATATGTACAGTATGTATGCTATTTCTTGATGTACATATACCATTGTAATGTCATATTTTATGATCATTTCAAGAGTAAATAGTTGCATTCCAATTTGTTTCTTTTGTTTTGTTATGGAGGCAATGGTGGTTTGACATGTGATCAGGGTTGCAGACTTGAAACAAGTTTCCCCCAGACCACAGGAATGGCCACAGGAAAATATTTCAATCTTGCCAGTCCTATAAATTCTGGACCTCTTTTTCTGTTTATTGCTTCAAACTTGATAAGGGTTGTTTAGTTTTTGTACACATTAGACATCATGGTTGTTGGTTGGTTGGTTTGTTGTTTAACGCTGCACTCAGCAATATTCCAGCTATATGACGACAGTCTGTAAATAATCGAGTCTGGACCAGACAATCCAGTGATTAATATCATGAGCATCGACCTACGCAATTGGGATACGATGACATGCATCAACCAAGTCAGCGAGCCTGACCACCCGATCCCGTTAGTCGCCTCTTTCCACAAGCATAGTCACCTTTTACTGCAAGCATGGGTTGCTGAAGACCTATCCTACCCCAGATCTTCATGGGTCTCTTGCATAGATCTAAATTTGAAGCAGATGAGGTGTTCTCCCTGGCCTATTTTATTTCTAGTTCAGGTATATAAACTAGTGGAAGGAAATGAGCTTTTTGACCATTGTTGAACGATATCAGATCTGTCGTACCTGAAGCTAAAGTAAATCTTTTTTGGCCAAATTCGCGTGATCAAGCAGAAATTCCAATTCACATGCAGAAAGAAACATGCCTACTTCTTGCCTAAATGTCTTCATAAATTTCATAAAGATGTTATTTATTATTCGGCTTTTCACATATTGTTTTCTCAGTGTACATCAGATAAGATTTGCTTTCGTTACTGACAAATTGTCCTGAACGTTTGATACGTAACTATATCTATCCTGTCACATGAACATTCTCAATCTTATCACAAATACAGCGTTACAGCAAGAGTAAAGGGCTTAGGTACGTGTTACCGTCCAGTTTTCTCAGTTTGGTATTTTCAGCGGGGAGTTTGATATAATTTAAGAGCATTTAAGTAAACTCTGAGCAACAAATACACTGTTATTTTCCGTGTGGCCTCCAAGTCGGCCAGACCGCCTCCGTGGTATAGTGGTAGTGCGTCCGCTCGGAGAGCGGAAGGTCCGGGGTTCGATCCCCGGCCGCGGCCGCGTCATACCAACAGACGTTAGAAGATGGTACCCTGTCTGGCGCTCGACATTAAGGGTCTAAAACAAGGACGGGTCGGCAAAGAGTCAGTATACTGTGTCTGAGTGTGATATTCATGTTACACTGCGGCATGGTATCTCAGTGAGCTAGTACTATAAATCGGCATCAGTCCGGACTAGTACCTAAGTAGCAGCCACACGCACGCACGCACGAACGCACGCACGCACGGACGCACGCACGTCCCTGTATAAGTGCAATAATCATGGAAGCGACGGTAAACCCTATTTCACCTTACCTCCAAGGCGGTCATATCGACAAAATCGGATTGGAACCACCTGAACAAATTCAGGTGTCAACATTGGATGTTTCAGCTTCATTGATCCAATGGTTTGCGAGGAGATAGTGTATAAAGTTTAAATTTAAATTTAAAATATCGCAAAACACGGATGAAATATATTGAGCCATACTGCAAACTCTTTGTGTTTTGTTATGCATTTTAAGTTTGTACTGCGTGTGATCAATTGTTTGATCAATATTAATTTGAACTTTTTACACATTTCTATCAAGTTGTGAGAGAGCGTTTGAAAGGTTTTCAGAGAAAAAATGCTTTATCATTGAGTGTTCCACAACGATGCCAATATTGACACAGCAGCGAGATCAAGTAATCGGAAGCCTTCAACCTATTGTGTTCCTGGTTGTTTGAAAACCGTCATGAGATACCACTTTGCAGAGCCAACAGAAACAAAAAATAATTTGATACACTTCTCGACCTTCATATAAACAAGAAATTTCATAACATTTTGTACAAAACAAAAACTCCAGCCACCGCCAACCTTTATACTAATGGGGAATAGATAATCCTCTACAAAGTGGTAGTAGCTTATAATGTTTACAAAATCGTGAATTAATATTTTTAGAAATTAAACATTTTGTAGGTTAACCGAAATAGATGTGTGTTTAGTTGATGAGACTGGGTTGCTATATCAAGTAAACACATGTTGGGTATTCACGTCATCTTTTTAAGTTTATACATAATGCATATGTAGGACTGGTTCATGATATCTCAATCAATATGAACATTGTTCCTGATACAATAAACAATTTACACGTATATGATGAATAATAAATAAGTAAAAAGATAATATCGTTTACGTTTACTAAGATTGTTACTATTTCGGCTTCGAACTTACAGCACTGTCTGACACCAAAAAGGCCATACTGCCCCATGTTCGCTAAAAAGACCAAAAAATATTTTATTTTATTTTATTGATAAATAAATTTATAACATTACTAAGAATTGGAGAATTCCAAATAATGAAAAATGCAGGTAAGCGGGACGGTGTTGCCAGAAACCTTAAATTTTGTCCTTTTTGTAAAAATATATTACAGAAGATGAGTTGCATTTTATGTCAGTATATGTGATATTTTAAGTCATATGTTTTTCCAACACTAAACTAAAAATTGATTATTCTCTTCGAACTTTACCACAAACGTCTGACATTTAACCTTGTCGTTATGTGCTAAATACATCAAAGATGCCTTATCATTATGTTCTTCATTATTATAAATCTAATTGAACTTTAAGTGCACTTTTTAACTCTTGTTATTGTACCACCACTTTGTATATAATACATGTATCTATACTGTACTTGGGCCTGTGGCAATTTACCCGTGAAGATCATGACATCGATCCACTCAAGTGGGATACGATGAAATGCATCAACCAAGTTAGCGAGCCTGACCACCCGATCCCGTTAGCCGCCTTGTACGACAAGCATAGTCGCCTTTACGGCAAGGATGGTTTGCTGAAGACCTATTCTTCCCCGTATCTTCACGGGTCCATTAATTAAATGAAGGCATATTTACGTAAACACGAGGACGCCTCTTTGTGGCTGGAAGTGTATATATTAAGGCTGAGGGACCTGTTGATATTGTGGAGGGGGCCTGGGATTTTATCGAACAGAAAATTGGCCCATAAAATCCATGGGTTAGTGAGTGATTATTGTTTTACGCGGCTTAAAGCAATATTCGAGCAATATAACAGTCGGGGACACCAGAAATGGGCTTTACACATTGTACCCATGTGGGTAGCAGACACTTCTTATGCATATGGGGAGGGCACGGGTGGCCCACTCGTCTAAGTCGATTCGCTGCGCAGAGTTGCGTCCCTTGGGCACGCCAGACACCTATGATTGTGAGTTCGAATCCCGGTTCGCCCCGATTATGTTTCTAGGTTTGTCAGCATCATACCCGTGCTCGTGGGTTTCACCGAAGTGGTAAACGTCTGAGACCTGCATTACTTCGGGCTTTCCTCCACATTAAGCTGACACGCCGTGATATAACTGGAATACTGTTAAAAGCGGCGTTAAACCCAACTCACTCACTCACTTATGCATATGGACAGGGCTTTGTCACTTTTATGTACTGTATAGTCAACGCTGGCGCCATTCTCGATTGTGGAGATACCTCCTGGGTGCATTCCAAAGTGACATCCAATCAATCATCACTTCCCTCAACGACGCATCTCTTATATGGAAACAAAATAATAATATGTAATAATGGACTTTATTGATTATCTTTTCTCCTTTACAAGCAGATTGAGAACCGACATTTGTTTGACTACGTTGGGTTGCACAGACGTATCTGTTGATAGTTCAGTCATCTGTTGAGGAGAACATGAAACCCACCTTAATACCATCCATGAAGTTTCATTTTATCCTTTACTCGATGATAGGTATTACGTGTCAGGTAAGTGTAAACGTTGCAATTAATACACCTACTGTTTTGTAACATGTTTCAGAGATAATACGACTTGCCATACAGGTTGTCCAGGGATCGGGGATAATTTGACGTTATATATTTGACGTTTATATATTTTGTAAGTGATTATGTGAATAAAAGCCGGAATAAGTTGAATGTGGTTCTTCAATTTGGGAGCGTACCATGTTGAAAGCGATTGTTATGTCTAGTCGGAATGCCTTGATTAGAATTAGAATGCATCTGTGATATACAGCCTTCTGTATATAAGCCAGGCTGTCGTGTTTCTCCTTCAGATTACTACCGTGTCTTTCCCTAATCTCACTGCCCTTATCACGGCCAAACTAGCCATTTTGCTCCAGTAAACTGAAGTGTTCTCTTCCCGGCCAAACTATTAATATTGTTCTTGTCACAATTTACTGCTGTGTTCTCTTCCCGGCCTAACCGTTGTCCTTGTCACAATTTAATCCCGTCTTATCCTCCCTGCCAAACTATTACTATTGTTCCTTCTCAAAGTAACTGCTGTGTTCTCTTTCCGGCCAAACGATTGTTCCTATCACAATTTACTTCCGTCTTATCCTCCCTGCCAAACTATTACTATTGTTCCTTCTCAAAGTAACTGCTGTGTTCTCTTTCCGGCCAAACGATTGTCCTTGTCACAATTTACTTCCGTCTTATCCTCCCTGCCAAACTATTACTATTGTTCCTTCTCAAAGTAACTGCTGTGTTCTCTTTCCGGCCAAACTGTTCTTCTTCTCACAATTTACTTCCGTCTTATCATCCCGGCCAAACTATTAATATTTTTCCTTCTCAAAGTAACTGCTGTGTTCTCTTTCCGGCCAAACTGTTCTTCTTGTCACAATTTACTTCCGTCTTATCATCCCGGCCAAACTATTAATATTTTTCCTTCTCAAAGTAACTGCTGTGTTCTCTTTCCGGCCAAACTGTTCTTCTTGTCACAATTTACTTCCGTCTTATCATCCCTGCCAAACTATTACTATTGTTCCTTCTCAAAGTAACTGCTGTGTTCTCTTTCCGGCCAAACTGTTCTTCTTCTCACAATTTACTTCCGTCTTATCATCCCGGCCAAACTATTAATATTGTTCCTTCTCAAAGTAACTGCTGTGTTCT